CCAAAACCCCAAAACCCCAAAACCCCAAAACCCCAAAACCCCAAAACCCCAATAGGCTAAATCACACGTGTTCATGATGATATTATATTAGTTAATTTAGAAAACAAGATGTCAAAAGGAAATTTCTAGAGCATGGGATACTCATCTCTCTCATCGATATTACTTATCTTAGCAATTACTTCTTATTTTGCCTAGCCAGTGCAAGGCAATGTCATTGGTTTTGACTTTGGATCTACATTCTTTAAGATTACTTTGGTTAAACCAGGTCAACCATTTACCATTGTTGAAAACACGGCAACAAAGAGAAAGACTGAGACTTGGCTCACTATCACATCAGAGGAAAGATATTTCGGTGTCGATTCATTGACTGAAAGCACAAAGCACCCTAAAACATCTTTCTCTCAACTCCATAGATTCGTCGGCCAAGAATATGACTCTCAAAAAATCGATGAAATGACAAAAAGTAGATTCTTAGTCAATGAATTCGCTGAAGATGATAGAGGACTAGTTGGCTGGAAACTAACTAAAAAGTTTGATAATGGAACTGAAGAGGATAGTATTATGTATACTGAAGAATTGATCGCTTAGTTACTTAAATACGGAAGACAGATGTCTGAGAAGTAGGCTGGAGGTACCATTAAGGATTGTGTCATTACAATCCCATCATACTATACTCCCTCTTAAAGAAGGATGATTCTTGATTCAGCTGATATTGCAGGACTCTCAGTCCTTTAGCTATTACATGAAAATACTGCAGCTGCTACAATGTTTGGTATTGATAGACTAGACACTGAAAAGCCCCTAACTGTATTATTCTATAATATGGGAGGTATGGACACAGAAGTTTCAGTGGTAAGATACTCCGCTATCACTGAAACGCCTTCAAACAAGTCTTATGAACACATTGAAATCTTAGCCGAGTCTTATGATAAAGAATTAGGAGGATAGGATTTTGACTTAGTTTTACTTAACATGATTGCTGATAGATTCAACAATTTAAAAGAAAGAAAAGGCAAAGCTGATATCAGAACTAATGATAAGGCAATCAAGAGATTAATGAAAGAAGTTATCAAGATTAAAGACATTCTCTCAGCCAATAAGTAGAACTAAATCAAGATTGGAGAACTATAGGATTATGTAAGTCTATTGACTACTATTGAGAGAAAAGAGTTTGAAGATGCTTCATAACATCTATTCGATAGAGTTATGGCTCCAGTATAAGAAGTTTTAGAGAAGGCAGGACTTACTATTGAGGATATTGATCAAGTTGAATTACTTGGAGGAGGTATTAGAATTCCTAAAATTCAAGAATTGATTTAAACTACATTGAAAAAGAGTGAACTTGGTGTTCATCTAAATGGTGATGAAGCTATGTGTTTTGGTAGTGCATTCATAGCCTCCAACAGTTCTGCATCATTCAAGGTTAGAAAGGTGTATCTAACAGTTCACCCCTAAACATAATTCTCTATCCATATCACTCCTCTAAACACAACTAAATCAGAGGGATCAACTTAGTAATAAGACTAGAATGAATAAATTGAGGATAATGAAGATGGGGAATCTGAATAAGGTGCTACACCCAATCAATAAATTGTCTCCTATGAAAAAAATTACATATTGTACAAAAAGTCAGATTACCTTGGTTAAAAGAAGAGTTTGAGTTTGACTTATGACACAGATATGAAGATTGATATTTATGCTGAAGATGGTGATCAAAAGACAAAGGTCGCTACTTTCACAGTTTAAGAAATAGATAGAGTTGCATAAACTGCAGCATTATAAAATGGAACTACTCTACCAAAGGTTGCTTTAAGTTTCGAACTCACAAGATCAGGATTAATTCAACTTAATAAAGCTGAAGCTAAAGTAGAGGAGACTTACACTGTCTAAGAGAAAGTACCAACTCCAAAATCAGCAAAGAACAAGACAAAATCAGTTCCTACAGCAGCATAATCATCTAATGATACTTCCAATACCACTGAATCAGCAGCTGAGGGAGCCAATACCACCTCATCAGAAGAAGTTGAAGAGCCTGTCAAGCCAACTGAACCTTAATATGTTACAAAAACAAAGAAGAGAACAATCCCATTCCCTCTTAGCAAGATTGATAGAGAATACTATGGTATTCAAAGTCTTAGTAATGATCAACTTAGAACTGCTAGAGAGAGACTTAGATGGTTCGAAAAGAGAGATGAAGACAAGGCAAAGACTGATAAAGCAAAGAATGATTTCGAGAGTGTTATCTATTCCCTTAGAGATTGGGTAAATGAAGATGAAAATGTGCCTTTTGTTGGAACTGGCAAAATTGATGAAATCATGCAATTACTAAGAGACGCTGAAGATTGGCTAGAAAATGATGGCTATTCTGCCAAGTATGGTGAATACATTACTAGATTCAGTGAATTGAATACTAAGTACAATCAAGTCAAAATGAGAAAGGATGAATTTAACAATAGAGATGGCGCAGTTACTCTAGCTAAGTCAAAGCTTGAAAGCTTCCTCGATAAGATTGAAGATTTAAAGCTGAAGAAAACTTGGATCACTGAAGATCAAAGACAAGATTTGATTGATAAGGTCAATGACACTCTAAAATGGTTAGAAGAGTAACTTGAAAACCAAAAGGAAAAAGCTATTGATGAGGACCCTGCATTTAAAATCTCAGAACTTGAGACCAAGGTTAAGAGAGTTGACCAACTTTATGACAGACTTAAGGCTATCCCCAAGCCTAAAGATACTACAACTGGTAAGAAAAAGAAGAAGAAGCTTCCTAAAAACATTAAGATTGATAACATGACATTCGATGGAAACTCAGGAATGAACATTGAAGACCTAATTAATATTCAAGGTGGATATGAAGAAGAAGATGAAGAAGAGACTACTCAGGAGCAACAGCAAAAGCAAGAACAATCTCAAGACCAATAAAAAGAGTAAACAAGCAATGAGTAAAGTGATAAGAAGCCCTATGATGCATCTGAGGAGGATCTTTGATTAAATTTAGCTATTTAGTTTTGTTTTTACTTCAAACATTCTTTCTCTTATAATCTCTCTTCTAAAGATATTAACTTAATAATTTAAACGAGTTTTAGAATGAAACAGTTAGAAATTTAATTAATTTTTTCTAATTTTATTGCTCAAATAAATGGACGGCAAAAAATCATCCCATCAAAACTCTTAAAGAGCTCTTAAAAATCCTGTGCACTAAATGAAGATCTACGAGGAATTTATTCATAAAGAAAAGAATTATTCCCATAGAAACAAAACAGAGGAGTTTAATATGAGACCCTAAACAAGTAAGTTATTCTTTTATATTTTATCTTATTATATAGTCCACAATATTTCTGAAAAGCCAAATCATATAACTCCAGTGAACCCCTATCTAGATAAGAAAACTGAATCGCTCAACGATGATGTGGTGGATAGAGCTTTTAGAATAGATGCTATGAGAAGATAGATTTAATCAGCAGGCTTGCAGCCAAGATAGAAATACCCACATGCAATGACTAGCAACTAAGAAATTGGATGGTATTCTAATCCCCTTGTTCCATAGAATAAAGCTTGGCAGTTCAATAGACTTACGACCCCAATTACCGATTATGCTGAAGATTACCTATCAATGAAAAAGGTTAATCCATTCACTGTGAGAAATAGATGAAGACAAGAATAATTCAAGAAAAAATACCAGTCTAGTCTGAATGATAATATTAACAATTAATTACAATGAGAATTATTATCATCAAATTATTATATTTCAAATTTATTTACTTAAATAACTAGCAGACTAAATTAATTGTGTTCTGACAGACTTTATTCAACTATATTTATTATCTTGTCACTTTTATTGTTTCATATGTAGTTGTGTTTCTTGCCAAGTTTCTTGGTCATCCCTATCCATCAAATTAAATTGATGACCTTTAATGTATTTAAAAGCTTGATGATATTCTCCGATAATTAGTTACAAGGAATTCTTAAAAATTCCAAAAATCAATTCATTTCCCTTGGGATCATATCTAACATTGCGTTAAAATTAATTAAGAATAGTCTTACTTTCCTTAAATCATGAATTCTAAATTATTCTCAGTTTCCTCAAATATACCGGAGATTTGATATTCATCATTTTGATCTATCTCATGAAACTTAATGAAAATTCTAAGATCTCTCACATTATTTGAATCAATAATCTGGCATAGCCCCTCAAAGAGTTTATGCTCCTCAAATGTCTAATTCTAGCTACTTATTGTCTTCATCAACTTGTTTTTGTTTATTTTCTTGTACTCTCTGTAACTTCTTTCAATATCATCTATCTGGTCGATTAATCTATAATTCTTCTTATCACTCTTTGGAATAGGAGAATCTCTTTTTTTATATAATTCCTCTTATATTTTGGGATATGAAAGCAGAAATTCATCATTAGACTTTTTTTGAGGGACAGGCTATTATTATTCGAGTTCTTTTTATGTGGGCTAAATAGTTACAGCTTCCGTTGTAGTTGTTTCTTGTTCGATTTTGGTGAATTAAGAAGCTAATGATTCTCTATGTTCAGCTGAACAACAAGCAGCTCCCATTTAAATATAATTGATTTGATAATAAACTATTCAATTTATGCTTGAAATGGACTATATTTGGAATAAGGGGTTTTGGGGTTTTGGGGTTTTGGGGTTTTGGGGTTTTGGGG